GTGTACGTGACAAATAAAAAATTTGAAATTTGAAATTTATTGAAATCGTGTTTGAATTTGCGCTTGTTTTTTTGCTTTCACTTTGCAATCGTGCGAACTGTGTATAGAGAGCGACAGCACTGATCTGTGAGTGATGATAATTTGTGCACCAATTCCTCTGACATCGTCTTATTAATCGTTAGCACATGATTCTCCTTATGCTGCTGAGAATATAGCCCAGAAGAAGCGGATAGTATAGCTTTTATTTTGGAAAGAGACATTTCTCTGTAATAAACTCTCTTTTCCAAAGATGAGTGATTCCTCAATCAGATACCGGGGCTAGCGATTTTTTTCAGTCGGGCTACCAAAATCTATCTCTGCCCTGCCCGTCGGGCTATTGTAGGAAGGAAAAATATATGTCAATGCTTTTGCATTCTTTCAGAAATGTAGCTGGGTAATTATGTCATTGGCATCGGTGAGCCACTGTCAATATGTGACATATTGAAATCGCGTTTGAATTTGCGCTTGTTTTTTTGCTTTCACTTTGCAATCGCGCGAACTGTGTATAGAGAGCGACAGCACTGATCTGTGAGTGATGATAATTTGCGCACCAATTCCTCTGACATCGTCTTATTAATCGTTAGCTTACTATGCAAACATGACAAGTGAAATCTCCCGCAGCTTAAACATGTGAGAGGTTGATCGCGCAGAGAATCGCTGACCGTCATGTGAGTGTGTGTGTAAAAGCAGCAGGATATATATTTTAGTTCTGCTGAGCCAAATAAGACAGGTCAGGGTGAAGAAGTGACAGCCAAAGAAAAGCTTACCACAAAACGGAGAAGTTATGACAAATCAGACTATAAGGCAAAAAGAAAGTGCAGCTTTATGGTTTCATGGACAAAAGAATTTCTGTGGCTGCAATATGACGAGCTAAATAACCAGGGCTGCACATAAGTGGGCCACAGGTGCGCATTCACTGTTAAAATAAAAAACAAGCACAAGGGTTAGGGTTAAATTTAAAAACTGTACTTTTGAGTTAAAACATATATTTATAATTTTAATAAATGACAAATTAAAAAGGCATGAACAATTTTTTTTGTATCGAAAAGATATCGAACCGTGTCACATTAAAGTATCGAACCGAACCGTGAATTTTGTGTATCGTTGCGCCCCTAATATATATATATATATATATATATATATATATATATATATATATATATATATATATATATATATATATATGTATATATATCTGCGGTCTTAAAGAAGGCCCAACAGCGTCTCCACTTTCTGAGAATCCTCAGAAAAATGGACCTGAAGAAGGAGCTGCTGACCGTCTTCTACTGCTGCTCCATTGAAAGTGTGCTGACATATTGCATCGGTGTGCGGTTACAACAGGGCAATAGCCCTGATCAATGTAAATAGCTGACCTGACTGGATACCTCCCTGGACTTTTTAGGGGGAGGTAACAATGTTTAAAACAATAACAATAATATTTATATTTATAACAAGGTGCAATAATAATTAATGTGCAATAATAACAGTGTGCAATACACATACACGTATTCTTCTTTTTTATACTAAGTTAATATACTGTGTTGTTTGTTACGTTGTGATGTGTCATATTGTGTCGTGTTGTGTTATATGTAGTGCCGACGTAGGACAGTTTTTCCAATTTCATTGTACTACTGTACTATGTATGACTGTGCAATGACAATAAAGAGTTATCTTATCTTATATAAATTCACGGTTCGGTTCGGTTCACTCATCTTTGGAAAAGAGTTCATTACAGAGAAATGGCTCTTTCCAAAATAAAAGCTATACTATATGCTTCTTCTGGGCTATATTCTCAGCAGCATATTAAACATATCAGGTCCCCATAAGGAGAATCATGTGCTAACGGCTGTCGTAGGCTACATTCACACTGCAGGCGAAAGTGCATCAAATCCGATTTTTTTTGACCCTATGCGACCCATATCCGATCATGGTGTGACAGTGTGAACGGCACAAATCCGATATTTTCAAATCCGATCTGGGTCACTTTCGTATGTGGTGCTTAATCCGATACATATCTGATGTTTTAGAAAGCGACTGCTGTTTGATGGTCATGTCGCATTAAATCCATCTTTTACGTCACTGACCCAAGACAGACTCCAATTATCAGCGCCGGAGAAGACATCGCAAGCGCTTCCTGGCCATCCAGTGTAGATGTTAGTGAAACTGTTGGGAAGACAACGTGAACATTTTATTTGTTCTGTATAATCTGCAGATTCTGACAGAACTCTGCAGCTATCCTTTGAAGCAGCGCTCCTCTAAAACAGCAATAAGGATCATTATTAGGTTATTTACATTATTATGTAAATAACAAAATAACTTAAAGCAAAAATTGGGAAACGTAAAGTCCGAAGTCTTTATATTAAGGCCATCAGTCAAACAATGCTGTTGGTCTGGGTCTAAACAGAGCGCGTTGTGTGTGACGTCTTCTTTTGCGCATGCGGGCCGCTTTGAGCGTTCACACTAGAGCGCGTTTGCTGTCGCATTTTATTTGTAGTGTGAACGAGCAGACAAAAAAATCGGATTTGATCAAAAAATCGGAATTGAGCATCAAGACCTGCAGTGTGAACGTAGCCTAAATGACTCGGGTAAAGTTTGTAGAATGCATGCTTGTTGTTTTTGTCTGCTTCCACCTGTCTTTGCACTAGGATGATGTCGGCGTAAATGTGCAGTCGTATTCGTTGTGTTCCCACTAGTGCTGTCAGCGTTAATCTGAAATGACGTTAACGCCACAACACGGCAAAGTTAACGAGCTACCGCGGATCGCCACGTGTGTGGGGCTGGACGGTGTCAACACGTTAACGAGCAAACTGCGCTAACGCACTAGTTCCCACCCATGTAATTGAGCATTACGTGGCACATCCGACATACTGTTTTACTTTTGTCCATGACGCGCTTACCTTCAGGGTCATACGTCACATGAAGACCAAAATAGTTCCAAAGGCCAGATCTGAATGAGGGTGGGGGAGGTTCAATTTGCCATGTTGCAACGAGCTTAGCTTCTGTCTGCTAGCTTGCGCTGCGCTCAGTGGATCTGCGCTCGACAGTGCAGCCTAGGCGGAGTAGTCGAACGCAGATCCACTGAGCTCTCAACACAGACAGCATCTTCAGAAGAAAAGTTGATAAAAATAAATTAAAAATTTTGTATTGTTCGATACATATGCGTACCGAACCGAAAGCACTGTATCGAACGGTTCAATATCGATACGAGTATCATTGCACCCCTAATATATGTTTATTTGGGTTGGTGGTTGTATTCCTGAAAGTACTGCTATACTGCAGTTAGCAAAAGCCCATTTCAGAAGAGCAATTCACTGCAGTAATTGGCAAGTAATTTAAAGACCCATATTTATTTTACACAACAGGACAAAAACAACATGTCAAATTCTAAAATTAAGAATTTCATCAAAATGTAACAAGTTTGTACACTTCCAGCTCTGTGTTTGGGACTTTGTAGTTCTTCAATGTATGTTTCGGCTAATTGTCGTGTTGGAAGATAAATCAACAACCGAATGTTGCTGCTGACTGCTTTAACCTCCTAGGACCTGGCGTCCACATATGTGGACATCACATTTTGGGTTATTTAGATCAAAATACTCAATTATGCTCTACAAGGGCCTGATGTCCACTCACGAGGACATTATCCTGCTACTGTTCTATCAATTTTTAAACGAATATCCTCATATGTAGCTCTTATTTTTCTAAAGATCTGGTAATCCTTTGTATTTATGTTCATCGGGCCCCAATATGCCCAACTATCAAAGAGAAATTAAAAATGCATGCCGTGGAAGAGTTTGGGTCTTAGGAGGTTAAGTTTACTTTCAAAATCTTCCTCCTTTCTTCATGATCCCTTTCACCTTGATGAGATTTCCAGTTCTAGACACTCTGAAGCATCCCCACACCTTAATACTCCCACCACTGTGTTTAAATGTGGTGTTCTGTGGATTGTATACCTCTGCCTTCTTCCTCCAAACATAAGCAGCATCTCAAAGGCCTAAGAGTAGTAGTTTCGTCTCACCTGACCACAGGTGATACTTTCAGTATGCATAATGTTTCTCCAAGTTATCCTTAGCATACTGTCTGGCTTCAAGGTGTCTCTTCTGCAGAAGTGGACTTTTTCTTGGTGTGCAACTTCACACTCCATTCCTGCGCAGGGTCTCAGTGATTGTCTTATTTGAGACTGCAATTCGTGACTTTGCTAAGTCATTTAGTGTCTTAACAGTTGTTCAAGGGTCTTTGGCACATCTCTCATTCATTTTCTTTCCAGAGTTTGAAATCTTTTGCTTCCTACTTCTGCAAGGCTTGTTCTGTACTGTTAAGCTCTCTTTGAATTTTTCTGTGATACTTCTGGCTCCAGTTCTTGAAACGTGGATATGCTATGGTCATTGTGTATACCCATCTCCTGCTTTGTGAGCACAACAACTTTTCTTCTCAAGTCTAAACTGATTTCTTTTGTTTCTGGCATGATGCTTTCTCAAGTGACCGCTTCAACCCTTGCCTGATATTTTAATACTCAGAATAAATTAGAACATAACCCTCTGTTTTAGCTGGATTTTACAAACTTTAAAGATAACAAAGTTAAAACACAACATTGGACACTAGTGATTCGTGTTTTGGCTCAATCAAAAAGTCAGATTTTAGGGTGCTAATAATATCAAACCTGGTAATATTTTTCTAAGAAATCTGTTATTCTGTTATTGTGTGTAAACAGAAAAACAATATGCTTTCGAAAGTATTAGCATGTGTAAAAAGGCTATGTTGAAAATCCCATGAACAACTTGGAAAATGTTGACAAAAACTTCTGCCCTCTGCAGGTGGTAAAAGGTGTTGCCAAATATATCTGTGTGGCCTGTCCAGGTGCAGTCTATGTATGCTAAACACAGTGAAAATATTACATCTTCAAAAATAGAAATACTATCTATGTTAGTGTAGAGGATGTGAAAAATTCCTCTTTTTTAACTCACTTTATCCCACAGAGACTGCAGCTCCTCCTGACCTCCCAAATCCCAGAACATTAGACGAGCCTTGCCAACATCAATTGTGCCAACTGTAAAGGAAAGCAAGAGATTCCCAAAAATGTTATAGATCAGCAGTTTAAATCAAGAACGTTCTGTGAGCTAGAAAGAAAGGTAGCATTAGAACATGAAAGATTACATAATTGCATTGATTTGTCCTTTTCTATACCATAACGGTTAAAATATGAAATTACAATTAATTCCTGCAGTTACTCATCAAAAAAGAACTAATAATCATTTTTCATTGTTAAGCAGTAATTACACACTCAAAAAGCAAGCGATTCCTGCTACTTTGACAAGGCAGGAGAAAACTGTGAAGGAGGTCATGCTGAAGCAAGCCCAACACTGTTACATTCACTTACTGTTCAGGCCAACTGTAGTGGTGATCTTGGATAAAGTCATCCCCTTGTAATTCTTACTAAACTTTGTTTTGGTCTGTTCCAGGAAAGTCTACAGACACAGAAAATAAGAGTAACCATTAGACTGGTGAATTACTCAGGTGATGAGCACTGTGTAAGTATCTGTGCATGTGTAAAACAAAATTAGCTAAACTTCAGGCAGCTCATTTGCAGGTGGTGGCCACAGACCATCACGCTCTCTCTTTCTCCTGCCTGATTTTTTCACTTTTGCTAGTGTCCTTGTCTTTGACAGGATCAAGTGGGACAGTTCATTCAGGCAGTCTAACCCCTTTAGAGTGGCACATTCATAAGTGATTTCTTATTGTTTATGCTCCATTAATGGCCAGATTGATAACCGTCATTTACTTTAATTTTTTCACCCACTTATTTAGCTCAATCATCCAGGTAAGTTAATCCGTTCTGTAACTTGGGTTTTGTCCTATTTACTGTTCATGATTTCTTGAGACAAAGAGAGCGATAGACCACAAAGCTAACGTAAACAAGAGAACATAACACCGCTTTCAATAATAATAATAATAATAATGGATTGGATTTATATAGCGCTTTTCAAGGCACCCAAAGCGCTTTACAATGCCACTATTCATTCACTCTCACATTCACACACTGGTGGAGGCAAGCTACGGTTGTAGCCACAGCTGCCCTGGGGCAGACTGACAGAAGCGAGGCTGCCATATCGCGCCATCGGCCCCTCTGGCCAACACCAGTAGGCAAGTAGGGTAAAGTGTCTTGCCCAAGGACACAACGACCAGGACAGAGAGCCCAGGGATCGAACCGGCGACCTTCCGGTTACAGATGCGATTCCCAACCCCTTGAGCCACGGTATGCACATAGCCAATGCTATGTGCATAACCCAGTTAACCAATTATATAACACAACATCACTTTGATACCGTTTTTCCGGCGTTATCCAGTCCCAGGATCAAAACGCAGTATTCATCCTTCTGGAACATGTACTTATATAATCCAGATAATAAAGTGTACATCTTGAAAAAAGTAAACACAAACAAAAACGCGTCCGTGTTCGCTAGTCCTAATGTTGGCTAGGTAGCTTAGCTTAGCTATGAGGCTAAACAAGCAACACGCGCCACTGTGGCTTCATAATACTCCCACTAAACATGCCTGTGTGCGAGTAGGGGTAGAATAACATGTATGCACTCATAAAACAAGTCGGAAAGCCGTCGTTTAAAAGCACACTTCTACTATGATAGTCTGAACACAATGCTGCTTCTACGTGTCACGTATCTAGGAAGTGCCACTGTATGAATTATGGGAAATGAAGTACATATGGATTCTACCACATTACGTTAGGTGACGGTGTTTTAGATATAAAACTTCGTTTCCCAGGAGGAAGTTCGAAAGCGTGTTACATCATTTTAAAGAAAAACGCAACAAATATAGAATGAATTGATTTGTTCCAGTAGCTGTAGAAAGTTCAGAACCAGAGCGTTATTAAGTGAGTGCTGACAGTCTCAATAACTGTTTGTTTTTTAATGACGTTTCATCTGTCAGCCATTCAGAAGCGAGGACCTGCAAAGACAGTAAAACATTCTCTATTACAGCGTCAATTTACTTATATTAAACCCCTGACTTCATTCCTTCACCAAGCAGTAAGTCATGTTTTACTTAGGGCTTAAATACTTATTCATTTAATGTAATGCAAATCATGGACTTCTTTTGTCTTTCGGGGGTGGGAAATATTCCATCTCTCTCTGTAAGAATAAAATGACCATGTTACCATAAAAATTAGAGACTTGTTGTTTTTTGTTTTTGTTTTTTTTTTTGTTTTGGGGGGGGGGGGTTGTAAATAAGCAGGCATAAAATTCAGCAGTGGAACAAATAATTATATCCCCTACTGTTTATGGATGCTGCTGAGTTGAAAGTGGAATAGGCTGAATGACGATTTGAACATTCCCTTTATTAAAATAAAGGTTTACAGTGGGTGACACCATATATTTAAATAATACGATATATATATATATATATATCAAGTTAAATATTTTATCCATCTTTCCACTTTCTTCTGCTAATCTGGACCCAGGTCACGGGGGCACCAGGCTAACCAGAGAAGCCTACATCTCCCTCTCCCTAGCCACCTCCTCCTGCTCCAAGGCGTTCCCAGGCCAGCCAAGAGATATGGGCTGTTTTCCAATTCAGGGGCTGCATCATTCGGAGGACCCGGCCTTTGTGGTCTACGTGGGCCGGGTCTTTGGAAGACCAAGAAGGCCTGAAGTGCGAGGCTTGTGAAATGGGACAGTCTAGCCTCCATCGCACTGCTCAGTTTGCCAAGCAACCTGACCAGCGCAGCTGTTTGACAGAAATGAAGGAGAAATTTGTTTTTACATGTGCTTTGTTTGATTAGTTGAGTATCTGAGGCTGAGACCACAGGACTGTAAAACATGATTGTTGGGCTTCATTTCTGTACTGAACAGTCATTTCAAGGTTAGCTAGTAAATAACAATTAGCTAATGTTGTTCATGAGACTAAAATCATCTCACTCTGGTAATGTAAATATAATATGGTCAACAGCAAAGTTATTATATTAATCATTATTAGTTATTAGAGCAGTGAACATGAACTCCGTGTCAAACACTGAGCTTCAGTACAGATTCAAGTTGCAGTTATTTATATTTCCTATCACCTTAAATCTTCACTCAAAGACAAGTATCTTTGACAGTGTATATATTGATGTATTATATATATGTAAGAGACAAATATTGTTCTTTTAATATGTTGTTACTAAATTTGGCTCAATGCTTACATATATGTGTAAAAAGCAAATGTAGGAGCTGTGATAACTGTGTCTGATAGAATGAAGAGTAGACTGATATACGAAATATTCCTTTATTGGGTGAGAAAATCAGACCATGTCATAACTGCTTTAAGTCATACAGAATAGATATCAGAGCCTTAGACAGGCTGACTTCTGCTAAATGGGTCAAACTGGGCAGAAACACATAACATCCTTATAGAATATGATGTAACACTATAGATCAACTTAGCTCAGAATATATAAAGCATATAAACAGTTACAGCAATATGATGCAACACACACAGCAGCTACTGATCCAAAATACTCAAAGCTTCATAGAACTGAAACAAACATTTTTTTAGGTCCATTCTGCTGCTGATACAGACTTTAGGTTTCTGAACATTAAACTTGTTGCTGCCTTTCATAGTGTGTAACTTGAAGGCCCTGAGTACTTTCTCCCACACTGAAAACACTGGGATGATACAATTATTTGAACATTACCTAATAAGACTGATTCAGGACAGACAATTGGTTATTTCTGCCTTTTGCAGAAAGGCTTAATGCAGTTTTTTGATTTTTCACAAAGTGTATTGTAGCAAAAATCAGCTGATTTAAAAAGCTTGATCAGTGTATGACATGATTAACTGTCAATATCCACAGGGAGAGTTAAAATATGAATAAAAATTAAAGTGTTGAAAAAGCAACTTGTTAAACAATTGTGGTGGGGGTGCTGAGCCTGCATCTGTTCAACTAGCCTGTTTTATGGACATGTGCCTTTGCCTCTGATTCTGCTAAAATCGCTTATTTGGTGCAACTAATGACTGGCCGGGCGCTTCAATGGGCTCAGGCAGTTTTAAATACCCAGCCCTCTGTGTCATATGACGTCTTTCTCAGCAAGTTTCGCTGTGTAATTGATAAAGGCGCTAGCTCGGATGCCGCAGGTCATCGCATGTTTTCTCTGAAGCAAGGTAGGAGGAGTGTTGCTGACTTTTCCGTGGAGTTCTGGATCCTGGCGGAGGAGTCGGGCTGGGAGGAGAAAGCACTGCGTGGAGCCTTCCTCAACAGCTTTAACGAGAATATTAAGCGTGAGTTAGCAACCAAGGAACTGCCTAAAGCTTTGTCTGCTCTAATCAATATGTGTATTAACTTAGACGACCACATGCGGGAGTTCGGCAAAAGAGGCGGGGATGGTCGGCGGCGTGCTGGGGGCACGGGTACATCTAGGGACCTTCCTACTCTGATGTGGAGAAGTGAGGAGGAGGAGCAACACGGGGATGAAGAGCAACCCATGCAGCTTGGCGGAGCCAAGCTTTCCTCCTCTAGACTGGGGAGCAAACAACGGACTGGTGAGTGCTTTCTTTGTGGAAAAAGAGGACATTTTGTTGACTCCTGCCCAGACCGAGTAAAAGAGTCGGCCCATCAGTAATTGTGGGGATACTGGCGGGCGCCACAACAAAAGTGTTCCCTCACCTCAGCTGCCCTGCTAAATTAATGTCTCACTCCCTCACTCACTCCTACTGCACACTCATTGACTCTGGTTCTGAACAAAATTTCCTAGACGAAGAGTTAGCCAAGATCTTAGGCCTGCCCCTACTTCCCCTTCCAGAGGTCCTGAAGGTCTCAGCCTTAAATGGCGGCCATCTAGCCTCCGTCACACATCGCACTCAGGAGGTTACACTCATTATTTCAGGAAATCACTCTGAGAAAATCAGTTTATTGGTATTCAAAGCCCCCCACACCCCACTGGTACTGGGATTTCCTTGGCTCCAACATCACAACCCCCAAATCGACTGGGCCAAAGGGTGTGTAACTGGCTGGAGCACGCGGTGTCATGAACTTGCCGCTGTCCCGGACAATCCCGGGACCGCCTCTGCGAAAAGCTCCTCACCCCCCTGAACTTTCCTTGGTGCCCGCCGAATACCACAACCTCGGCCAGGTATTCAGCAAAAGTAAGATAAGATAAGATAAGATAAGATAACCTTTATTAGTCCCACACGTGGGAAATTTGTTTTGTCACAGCAGGAAGTGGACAGTGCAAAAGTTATGAGGCAAAAATTAGAATACAATAAGAATAAGAATACAGTACAGAACTGTACAGAATAGAATAAAATAAAATACTATATACAGTAGAATAAAATAAAATAAATATACAATAAGATAAAAATAGAATACAAATACAAATACTATATACAACTGAGTAAAAATACAACGATGACAGAAAGGATTATTGCACTTAGTATTATATTATATTAAATATAATATATTAAATATATTAAATATATTATATTAAAGGCGTTGTCTTTGCCTCCACATCGGCCTTACGACTGTGGAATTGACCTACTCCCAGGCGCTCCCCTGCCAACAAGTCGGCTCTACAGTCTGTCTAAACCGGAACGCGAGACCATGGAACGCTACATAACGGAGTCTCTGGCCGCAGATATTATTCGCCCATCTACTTCGCCTTTAGCAGCAGGATTCTTTTTTGTAAAAAAGAGAGGTAAGAGCCTGCGTCCCTGCATTGACTTTCGAGGGCTGAACAAGATCACTATTAGGAATAAATATCCACTCCCCCTGCTGGCCTCAGCATTCGAACTACTACAGGGGGTGGGGTCCTGTTCACCAAACTGGATCTTCAGAACGCCTATCATCTGGTTCGCATCCGCAAGGGTGACGAGTGGAAGATGGCTTTCAACACCCACCTGGGGCACTTCGAATACTTAGTGATGCTTTTCGGTCTTGGTAACGCCCCTGCAGTCTTCCAGGCCCTGATTAATGATGTGCTCAGGGACTTTATTAACCATTTTGTCTTCGTGTATCTGGATGACATTCTGATTTTTCCAGGTCGCAGACTGAGCACATCAACCATGTACGTCTGGTTCTACGGCGCCTATTGGTGAACCGCCTTTTTGTGAAAGCGGAAAAATGTGAGTTCCATGTGCAAACTGTTTCTTTTCTGGGTTTCATTGTGGAACAGGGGCGTTTGCGAGCTGACCCGGCCAAAGTCAAAGCCGTAGTGGAATGGCCTATTCCCAAGACCCGCAAGGAGGTGCAGAGGTTCCTGGGCTTCGCCAATTTCTACCGCCACTTTATCAGGGATTTCAGCAAGGTAGCCCTCCCTCTAACCAACCTAACTTCTCCTATGTTGTCTTTCCAGTGGTCCTCCGCAGCCCAGCAAGCGTTTGATCGGCTCAAGCACCTGTTTTCCTCTGCTCCAGTCCTCGTCCAGGCAGACCTCGGCCGGCCTTTCATCGTGGAGGTGGACACGTCCGATTCGGGCGTGGGGGCGGTTCTCTCCCAACGGATCGACGGCAAGCTGCATCCCTGTGCGTTCTTCTCCCGCAGGTTGTCTCAGGCCGAGAGAAATTATGATGTGGGCGACCGGGAGTTGCTCGCCATCAAGTGGGCCCTCGAGGAATGGCAACATTGGCTGGAGGGCACTGAGCAGCCTTTCGTGGTGTGGACGGACCACAAAAATCTGGCGTATCTCCAGGCAG